AAAGATATTTAATATATTAAAAACATATTTAAAATATAGTCACGAGCAAGGGGACCGCCTGCCCGGTCCGTGACTACCACCCTTGACTACTGCTCCGGGCCCCGTGGGGTGCTGTCCGAGTCGAGGCCGTGCCGCCAGGATTTATGGGCCCGACTAAACGCGAGGCTCCCCGGTGGGTGCGAGTCATCGCTCCCCAGGCCTCCGAACGAACTCACTCGAACCAGAAAGCTAGGCTGCTTGTCCGGGACCCGAGGAGGTCCGGGGCTTCCCTGGTTACCTTGGAAACCGCCAGAATTCCCCAGGATGCTCCACCGCTGCTAGGGGGTTCCATGCTGTGACTATCGCCCCCTTTGCTAAACGGTGCCCTTAAAAAATACTGTGTGTCCTGCATGGACTTTGCACTGGGTTTATGTTGTATTTAATTATTTAAAAACATTACAAGGAGAGGAAAGGAGAGGGAGAGAGAAACATCCATGGGCTGCCCTGGACCGGGAATGGAACCCGAGACCCTTGGGTGCCCCGGGGCCAGCGCTCTAACCACTGAGCAGCCAGCCAGGGCAGAGCCTCCTGTGTTTGAGACGAGCCTGCAGGGCTTTGTGGGCCTCGCCCGGCTGTCAGGAAGGAAACGCCCGGCCACCGCAGTCCACACATGCCCCGCGGCTCCTCTGCCAGCTGCTTCCCCGGAAGGCTGGTCCTCGCGACACCCCTGCCCGTAGACTGTCAAAACCACCAGAGCCATCGAGACGCATTTGACTGGAGAGTCACTTGAATCTTTGGCCCCCAAAAAAGCACATCCGTATGTCAAAATACCGATCGTTTCATTAAACTCATCCATCCTGTGCGCATGGTCCCTGTGAACCGAAGGACCATTTACAGATAGTCTACATCAGGGGTCCTCAAACTTTTAACCGGGGCCCGTTCCCTGTCCCTCAGACCGTTGGAGGGCCGGACTATAGTTTAAAAAAAAACTATGAACAAATTCCTGTGCACACTGCACAGATCTTATTTTGAAGTAAAAAAACAAAACGGGAACAAATACAGTATTTGTATTTGCATGTGGCCCGCGGGCCGTAGTTTGAGGACCCCTGTTCTACATCATGTGTACACACACACACACACACACACACACACACACACACATGCCCAATCTATGTATCATGGTTTTGTTATTTTAATATTATATTTTTATTGATTTCAGAGAGGAAGGGAGAGGGAGAGAGATAGAAACATCAGTGACGAGAGAGAATCATGGATCGGCTGCCTCCTGCACGCCCCACACTGGGGATCGAGCCCACAACCCAGGCGTGTGCCCTGACCGGGAATCGAGCTGTGACCTCCTGGTTCCCAGGTCGATGTTCAACCACTGAGCCACACCGGCCGGGCTGGAATTGTTGTTAGTCTCCTGTCGATGAAGGTCTAACAGGGATTGCCTTCCTCCTGGAGGGTCCCCGAGACCCTAGCCGGCCGCGCTGCACCCCTGGGACCTTTGCCCGGCGGCAGCCCAGGCTGGTAGGTCAGCCCCCGTCTAGCCCCTCTGGGCTCCCTGCCCTGTTCCCGCCCAGCCCGGGATCAGGAGGGTGCTTACTTTGTCCCGGGTAGATGGAGCTCTCTGGCGAGGGGCGAGCTTTCCATGACGTCGTGCGCACGTCATCCCGGTCTCTTTCTGGGAAACCGTGACCCCGTGACTCTGACGACTGTGCAGAAACGCCAGGGACTGGCGGGCGACCGTGTTCTCGTAATGAGAAGAGATTGTTTCAAAGCATCAACTGTTTTCTCGCCCGGCCGGCATGGCTCGGTGGTTGAGCGTCGACCTACGAACCAGGAGGTCAGTTGGGGCCCATGCCCAGGTTGCAGGAGACAGCTGATCAATGGTTCTCTCTCATCATGTTTCTCCCTCCCTCTCTGAAATCAATAAAAAAAATTTTTTTAAAAAAAAATGAAGCTAGAACTTCTTTCAGAAGGTTCAAACAAAGGCTTCTAATTGGTTTGGCCACCATCTTATTCCAAAACTATACGTATTTTTTAAATCTTTTATTTATTGATTGGGGGGGGGCATTGATTTGCTGTTCACTCACTGATGCGTTCATTGGTTGTTGCTTGTGCCTGCCCTGACCTGAGATTGGACCTGCAGCCGTGGCGTATCAGTTGACGCTCCAACCACCCGAGCTCCCCGGCCAGGGGCCAGGCTCACAGGATGAGCCCAGGCGTGCTAAACCCCCAAACCCTTGCTTTGTCAGGGTCCCCCGATTCCCTTCCCACGAGCAGAGACGTACGTGATAAATTACCTCCCAGGAGAAGGATTATGCCGCCTTTTACTCCCACCACTACTCCCGGAGCTAGGGCGGCGACACCTGCTTCGGTGTTGGCCTTCCGCAGGCCACTGACCACTCACCCTCCGTCCTCCCTCCTCAAGGCCCAGCAAGTCGCCAGCTCACTTGAAACTGGGCTCCTCCAATCCCTTCCAAGTACGACTTATGTGTAAAGACAGGACTGGCCCTGGCCCGGTTAGAGCCTCGGCCTGGGGACCGAGGGGTCTCGGGTTC